AATGCACACACAGAGATGCACACAAGCATGCATGCATGCACCCATTTTAGTCGTAAAGCAATGTAATGCTAAGGACTAATCCTTAGCCCTGTGAATCTGGACCCCTACACTGAACTTCCTTCCTCATAATATAGCACCAATCTTTGCTGCTGAGGTGGATTATGCAAGCAGATCACACATAGAGGAGTGTTTTGTTACCACCAAGGGAGGAGTAGCCAAGGGATCTGCAATTATGAGGATCGAAAATATAAACCTCTTAACACAGGAATGCACAGGAGATCAGCGGCATTCCTGCAGCCCAGGAAAAGGCCTGTGGTCAAAGCAGGGAAAATGTTCTAAAGCTGCTGAACCAGAGTCCTTTTCACCCTCCCACTTTTTGTTTTGCTTAGCCTGTTTACCAGGGCACCATAGAGGTACAACATGGATGGAAACCAATAGTATTTAACTTGACTGGGGCGTCCATACCAGAATATGCTATTTATGTCAATATTTTGCTGTTTTCAGTGCTGAATATTTCAGTAGGCACAGTCAAATACTCCAGGATTATAGATGGAGTTAGGAGAGGGAAAAGTGTCAAGAGAGAGAACAGCTTTCCTTTCATTTCTTTATGACTTTGAAAAGATAATACAATAAATTACAGGTGCAAAAACCCTTAAGTATAGTCTTTATTAAACTGCCTAAGCATAGATTTTCCTGTCTGGAATTTTTTCTGCTTACATTTCACTTTCTGAACAGCAATTACTGACAAACAAATGCTGCACTGTAGCCGTGCTGCCACTGCAGCAATAATAAAGCTGATTTTCACTCTGCTGCTCAGTGATAGTTTCCAGAAATTATTTTTCAGCTACTGCTGCTCTAGTTTGGCAGAAGATGGTGTGCCCACATGTCTTGTGAGGAAGCACATTTTTATTCAGAAGGAAGTAGATTGTATCCAGCAAATGACATTGGTAAAATAACAATAAAAAGAGAGAAATAAGGTAATTTTTCAGTGTATAATACCTTATAATACATTCCAAGTCTCCGTGCCTCTCGCTCTAAGTTTTGGTCAAAAAATACACAAATCAAACAGTGTACAAATCAAACAATGTAAATTTTTTAGTTTAAAGTATGTTATGATTATTTATTGTGATGACTTAATGCATCATAAAACCAGTCTAATGTTAACTAAGGGAACATGTTACCTACATCTCATTAAGGTTAAGAAACTGGAAAAGCTATTCAAAATATGCAACCAAAAAATCTGACAAAGAATAAAATTTACATCTCTGCAGGGGAACAAAAAAGATTTGTATTCTGCTGAGGTCCTGTAATGCAAGATAAAACAACAGGGAATTTCCCTTGTTGGTTTTACTGCAACACATCGAGTTCTCCTATCAGTTGAAACTAAAACAGGATTGTGCACATACTTAGAAATGTAACACAAACTCATTTTGAGATAATTAGCTATATAAAGCATTAAAACTTTTATCCTATTTTTAACTGACAAAGGATCATATATTTCTGAATGTGCAAGTTTCTAAACCAGAGTTCACTGCAGTTCATTCGCACACCACTAGTTTGATGCATATACTCTCTAGAAAGTCCCCCAAAAGTAAATCAACCACCAGAAGCTCAATAGCCAGCCAGATTCATTGTGCTTAACATAAAATGTAACATTTTAAATTTGTGTGCTGGTGCTGATGTTTACTCATAGAACTGGCATTGGTATGCCTGGAAGACAGTTTGAACAAGAAATTTAGGACTGGAAATGCAAGTTCACATATAGCTTTTCAGTATATTATCAGTGATTTTAAATACAGTGTAAAGCAGCTTTTTGGATATTATCTCTACAATTATTTTTGTTTGTTATCATAGCATTATACTTCTTTAGAAACTTACTGTACTTAGAACCATCAGTAAAAAGCTCTTGTGTAAGATGAAATCTCACCTCCACTGAAAGTGAGACTAAATCTCTCACTGATTTAAACAGAGCCATTTTTTTTCTTTATATTTAAAAGCTAAACTTACTAGTTTGCTATGTTGTACTGTTTTGCATAGTGTATTTCACTGCCCTTGAAGATCACAGGAGACTTGATTACCTAGAGAACTTGCACTGATGCAGACACATTGGTTGTGACAGTTTTTTGATTATCTTGCAAAACAGCAAAAGCATCATGAACTGCAAACACTTTCCATTTTCTGTACTTGATCACCTTCTTTATTGACTGTAAACTTTTGAATTCCAGTGAGTTCTCATATATAAGCAAATTCAAAGAGATTATTATTATGGCACATACATTCACTTTACTTTGTTTTGCTATCTGCTCATGCAGCTACAAGCATCACCAATGATCTTGGCCACTTCAGGAATAAATGTACTTTTTACAATGGATTAGCATGGAAATGCCACATTTAGATGCTCTCTTTCCCCCAAGTCCAGTGTAAAAAATAATCATAGAATAAGAGAATATCCTTAATTGGAAGGGACCTAGAAGGATCATTGAGTCCAACTCCTGGCTCCACATGACCCAAAACAAAACAAAACAAAACAAAAAAACAAACTATAAGTCTGAGAGCATTGTCCAAATACTTCTTGAATTCTAGCAGCTTGTTGCTATGAGCACTGCCCTGGGGAGCCTGTCCCAGTGCCCAACCACCGTTTGGGTGCAGAACCTTTCCCTAACCCCCATCCTGACCCTCCCCTGTCCCAGCTCCATGCCGTTCCCTCAGGTCCTGTCGCTGTTCCCAGAGAGCAGAGCTCAATTCCTGCCCCTCCGCTCCCCTCGTGAGGAAGCTCCAGAGCCTGGTATCCATTGTGTAAGGGCACCTGCAAGGGTGAGGTAGGCAGGAAGGGCATTTGTCTGCCACCCCAAGTATAAACCTGCTTCTGTTCCCTTCTCTCTTAGGTCCCTTTCCTCTATCTGGTGGTGAGAGGGTAGCGGGTCCTCTTCCTTTCTTGTGTTTTGGCTGGCTGACACATCTGTCTCAGGGTTGGTAGGGTAAGATTACACCAGTCAATCTCCTTCTCCAACTCCCTGATGCTCGTCAACCTGCCTATCTCCTCCTGAAGCTGTTCCACCAAGCTGAGCAGTTCTTAGTTGCCACCACTGAAATGTGGTGGGACCAATCCCATGACTGGAGTGCTGCAATGGATGGCCATAAGCTCTTCAGAAGGGACAGACAACAAAGGAGGTGCGATGGTGTGGCTTTCTATATTAGAGAGTGTTTTGATGTTGTTAAGCTCTGGGTTGGGAATGATAAAGTAGAGTCCCTGTGGATAAGGGTCAGGGGGTTGGCCAACAAGGTGTACATCCTGCTGGGGGTCTGTTACAGACTGCCAAAACAGGACAAAGAGAAGGAAGAGGTGCTCTATAAGCAGCTGGCAAAAGTCAATCAATCACCAGTGTTTGTTCTTGTGGGGGATGTAAACTTCCCAGACGTATGCTGGAAATACGGTACAGCCCTGAGAAAGAAGTCTAGAACATTCCTGGAGTGCATGGAAAACAGCATCCTGACTCAGCTGGTTAGTGAGCCTACTGAAGGGGGTGCCCTGCTAGGCCTGCTGTTACAAACAGAAAAGGACTGATGAGAGATGTGGTGGTCGGGAGCTGTCTTGGGCAGAGTGACCATGAAATGGCAGAGCCATTCTTGGTGAAATCAGGAGTGAATTCAGTAAATTTGCTACCTTGGACTTCTGACTTGGAACTGTAAAGGACACTCGTAGGGAGGGTCCCTTGGGAGTAAGTCCTAAAGGGTAGGGGGGTCCAGGTTCATGGAAGGCAAGTCCTGTCTGACCAGCCTCATCTCCTATAACCAGGTAGCCCACCTGGTGGATGAGGGAAAGGCTGTTGTTGCAGTCCACCCAGACTTCAGCAAGGCCTGTGACACAGTCTCCCCCAGTATTCTCCAGGAGAAGCTGGCAGCCCATGGCTTGGAAAGGTATACTCTTTGGTGGGTTAAAAACTGGCTGGACAGCCAGGCCCAGAGAGTGGTGGTGAACAGAGTGAAATCCAGCTGGCAACCGGTCACTGGTGGTGTTCCCCGGGGGTCAGTTGTCAGTTGTGGGGCCCATTGTCTTTAATATCTTTGTAGATGATTTGGGTGAGGGAATTGAGTGCACCTTCAGCAAGTCTGCAGAGGACACCAAGTTGGGGAGAAGTGTCAATCTGCCGGAGGGTAGGAAGGCCTTGCAGAGGGACCTGGACAGGTTGGGTTGATGGGCAGAGGCCAGTGGGATGAGGCTCACATGGCTAAGTGCCGGGTCCTGCACTTTGGCCACAACAACCCCATGCAATGTTACAGGCTTGGGGCAGAGTGGCTGGAAAGCTGTGCAGAGGAAAAGGATCTGAGAGTGTTGGTTGATGATCACCTTAGCATGAGCTGGCAGTGTGCCCAGGTGGCCAAGAAGGGTAAGGAATAGTGCAGCCAGCAGGACCAGGGAGGTGATCGTCCCCCTGTACTCAGCTCTGGTGAGGCCGCACCTCAAGTACTGTGTTCAGTTTTGGGCCCCTCATTAGAAGAAAGCCATCAAGGCCATGGAATACGTCCAGAGAAGGGCTACAAAGCTGGTGAAGGGCCTGGAACACAGGTCCTGTGAGGAGTGGCTGAGGGACCTGGGGTTGTTTAGCTTGGAGAAGAGGAGGCTCAGAGGAAACCTTATTGCCAGCCTCTTCTCACAGATAACTAGTGATAGGACTAGAGGGAATGGCCTCAAGCTGAACCAGGGGAGGTTCAGGTTGGAAATGAGGAGACATTTCTTCTCAGAAAGAGCAGTCAGGCACTGGAACGGGTTGTCCAGGGAAGTGGTGGAGTCACCATCTCTGGGGTTGTTTAAGGAAAGGTTGGACATGGTGCTTAGGGACATGGTTTAGTGGGTGATATTAGTGGTGGGGAGTGGTTGGACCAGATGATTCTACGATCGTACCTGGTTGCACCTCCCACAGGTACACACACTGCTACTGTCAGACACTGGCAGAAAACTCAGGCTAGAAACTAGTTAGAAGAAAAAGATAGCATCAAAATGGTGTGATAAATACATATATTTTTAATCTAGAAATTACTTCCATTATTTCCATGTAAGTCCATTTTAATGCCTACATTACTATAGTGACAACAACATACCTAAACTAAACAAAAATTAAATCTTAACCTAAACATTACAAAGTTATTCTGAGCAACACTACACTATAAAACAGGCTCTTCTATGGTTTATATCTCAGAGTTCTGTATGTAACATAAGTAGTTAATGTTTTACTATTAATATTAGTCAAAAAGTACTTACAAAATAAAGAGAAATTTAAGAAACTGTAATCTATCACTAGTGCAACACAGAAAAATAAACTTCAGCAATGGAGGCACATGGCTGTACATGTCAGTGTAGCAAATGCTATTACAGTTGGAAGGGCAGGTCAGAAAACTGATGCCCACTTTTGATTTCCTGTTTTCATAACAGGATGTTATCCCCAAAAGAAGCATTCCTTTTCAGGATGCTGTCATCCCCAGAGTGACAGTCTCTGCTGTTTACTAGAACAGAGCTGCAGTGAAACCTGTTCCCAGGATTTGTTGTCCTCTATATCCTTCACAGACCTGAACTGGCCTCTTTGGGTGTAGCTAATTGAAGAAGAATTGTTTTTGTATGGATTGTCACCAGAGTAGAAACGAAGTGGAAGATGATAACTTTAATTCTAGTTCATATTCCCCATAGTTTAATTGCTCTGATAAATGGCACTATATATATATCTTACAAAGCAACTGAGGACAAACCCCTGAAATTCTACAAAAAGATTAACAAGTAATGTACATTTTGAAGAGTGTAACTGATTAACTTGGAATCAGCTTTAATGGCTTCTTGCATGACAATTAGGAAGTCCAAAATTGATTTTGGTCTTCAGTGAAGCGCTTACTGTCACAGAATTCTGCATTAGTCATTATCATAGATGCAATCTGAAATGGAAATAGAATGCCAAACATATTAGTATCGTGCAGTGCTTTGAGTGAAGATAAAATTATTTGTTGTAATTTAATATAGTTCCTGTATCGTTTGAAATGTTCGACATACCATCACCGATATCATCATAAATCTCTCCATCACTGTAAGTTAGAAAAAGAAAAAAATAATGTATTTAAAAATGTAGACATCAGATATTACTATACACATGCAGCTATGAAAAGCTGTAGCAGTATGGTGCAGACATGCTATCAAGTATTCATTTGCTATTTAGGTAATAAAACAGTGTTGAGAAAGACACTGAGGCCAAAGGAGCTTCAGTGAAGGGTAAAACTGGATATGTTTCTTTTTAATGTGAAATCCATGCTTTATTAAAAGATTTTTAAAAATTGTGTTTTAAAGCAGCTATTCTAAAAAAAAATAATCATAGAGGCATTTACATTAAAAATGAAAGACTGATCTTTTTAAAGATGAGAAATATAAAATATAAAGATTGAGAAATATAAACTTCATAAAAATATATAATTTTAAAGGACTAAAATGACATACTGAAATAATTAAATTTCCTATTTATTTAACAACAGTTTAGAACAAAGTATATAATTAAAACAGTTTTTTTCAAAACGATAACTTTATACTTACTTCTCAACTAAATTGCTTCTCAGAACATACCCATCTGTAAAATAGAAATGTATGTGTTATATGTGGTAAGTTAAATTTAAGTATTCATGATATTTCTTCTCTTTCTAGCACTAGTGAAATTTAGTTTTTATCTTTAAAATGTTTCAGATAGGAAGATATACAGATGTATAACAATGTATGCTGGATACGTGCTCATGCAGAATTTTGCTATGTCTAATTGTTCTTACTTACCTGTTTAATATAACATGGTGCCTTATATTTCCTACAGGGACAAAAATGTTTTCCAAGATATACACACCAATGACTTATTACTAACTGTAATTGTTTAATATGTTTAATTGTATCCAAATTGATAAAGAATATTTGTATTAAAATATGAAATTACCTTAGAAAAGCTATTCAGTAGTGAATTTATCAATTTCTCTGTTGCATTGCTATTGAAATCAGAGAAAACTACACATATTCTTCTCCAACATATTTAAGCCCTTGAAAAAAGTGCTTGTTGTATTTGGAAAAACACATCAACTGAAATATTTGTCAAATGGTATAACATACCAACCAAAGAGAAAACTGTGACAGCAATTACATATTTGTAGCTAAACATTGGGATGTTTGTACAAAGATAGGAAAAGTTTTAAAGTAGGAATGTCATTTTATGTTGGATTTGAAATTATTGCAAAAGTTTCCCTATTTTATTTCCTAGGAGGCTTAAATGGCCACAGTAAAATTACACATTTTTAGTAACCTGTACACTGCCATATTAATTACGTTTAGTATAAATTTATTAGCTTGTAAACATCCTTTGCATTCTTGCATTCTTGGAGCTGCTGCTGCTTCATGTATTCAGAAGAACCACTGTAGACTACTGAGTTTTCTGCTAGTACGCCTGGGGGTTATCCTGCAAATCAGTCTATCTCCAGGTCTTAGTGTTTTACTTAAAGGAATTATTTCTTCCTTCTTACAAACTTTTTGTTTGTTTGTTTGTTTTTTTTTCCCAAAAACCTATGGAATTGAATTGAAGGATTTTCTGTATTTCAAAAGGTATGTGGCTCAGACAAAGGCAAGAATAAGGAAGACTTTTAGGGTAAATAAAATTAAGTGATAACAAAATATGTTCCTAAGCACATCAGTCCTTGCTTAATAAGGTGGGAAGACCTTATAGTATAATTCCTAATTTTGTTTAACTGGTGGTAGAGGCATGAAACCATGGAAGTGCTCTGTATGTTAAAGTTCAAATGGAAAAATTAATGTTCAAGAAAGTAACAAAACAAAACAAAACAAAACAAAACAAACAAACAAACAGAAAAAACAACAACTAAATATTAATTTTATATCTATCTGGCCATCAAAAGGTAAAATTAAGATATGAGGATACTCCAACTAGAAAAATAACCACAACTGTCATGTACTTAAAGGAAATAGGACTCCAGGTTGCTAATTAATGTGAAAATTGACAGAAATATATTCAGGGGTTTTCAGGGAGTATATTTTTATTTGTTTTGCTCTTTTATGCATAGATAAGCAGTGGCTTCTGTTACTGGTTGAAAAGCTTTGAAGACTATGTGAGGAAAACAGACAACATGAGCTACTTTCTGCTTTGCTATTAGCTTGATTCAAAAAATGTGACATCGACGGCCTCACTTTGCAAAGTGGCTGCTGTAAGGCAATACATATTTTGAAAAACTTGTGTTCTTATGCAAGAAATTCTCCTCACCCTGCAGGCTTGCCAGGAAGAAGGCTATGCTCCAGATTGTAACAGATGACTACAGAGGGGAAAGAAATAGAAAGAAATTATCTGAATCCTTGTCAGAGGTGTATGGTTTTGGACGGCCTTCTACATAAGCCAGTGGTTAAAAGCAAAGGTGAGTGGAAGGATGTTGCCGCTTTGGACACAGTCTATTATAACACAGTGAATTTTTATGAGGAGGTTTGAAAAGCATTGAAACAGAAGCATACTAAGAAATCGAAACCAACAGTAGATGCTCCAGACTTCTCCAAAGAATGCAAAAACTTCTGCCAATGCATACCCTGTCCAAGGGTTTCAAGAAACACTGAAAGGCCTTGTGCAGCTCCCAAAACAGGCAGGGATGCCAACAAGGACATATGCCTTGGATCAGCTAGCAGGGGGAAGACTCTTAAGCACTTTTTCCCCCAGCCTGTTGAAAAGATTAAACTCCAGCTCCGGCAGCCCAAAGGAAGAATATCGTCATTGATTTTCCCTTGGCTGCAATCTATGGGCAAGAACTTTCAAGAGGTGTAGCAAAGATTTTGCTGTTTTACTAGATTTTGTGGGGTATCACAGCTATACTATGTTTGGCAAATGGAGAATCAACAAAAACATCTCCTTAGCTAACGCAAAGCAAGGTTTACATAAATAAGTTGTGATCTCTCTCACGTTTGGTATGTCTTGACTATTGGAGTTTTAAGTTTTTTAAGGTCTGACACTCTTAACATACTAAAGGAGCTACTGTAAGTAGTAACAACAGTAACACGAATATATCTCCTGTCAACCATCAGATCAGGCAAGGAGACAGAAAAACATTAGATTTTAGTATGACAGGAAAGAGTGCTTTTTTTTTTTTTTTTTTTTTTTTGTGTGTGTGTGTGTGTGTGTGTGTGTCCTGAGTCATGTATTCTTTGACAATTTACTCAAATTAAATTTCAATTTATACTTTACATATGCATTCTGTACCACAGCTTTTTAATACGACTTACATTTTCCTTCTTCATTCCTGCACAGCACCTTGGTATCATCTGTATTTTGTATAATTTCAAGAGACTCCCCTGGCTTAACTTGTAAGTCTTTAGATCCCCACTTTCTTTGGGGCAAATCCTGGACTGTGGTGGTGGAATAAAGAACTTTGATTTCACCTTCAAACTGGAAAAAAAAAAAAAAAGAAAGAGATGCCAGATTAAAACTACAACAACTACAACAACAACACAATACAGTAAATCTTATGATCATGCATTTTTATAACAATATATTCCCATTTATTACTAGATTTTTTGAAAGCTAGGCAAATAATTGTTTATACTATCTAATACATGCCCAGGCTTGCCATTTGTACTTACTAGGGGTCAATAACTATTTTTACAAGTAGTAATGATTCACTTGTCAAAGGCAAAATAATGGATTATTTACAAATTTGAGGATACCATATGGATATTTTAGTCTATGTTTTATGTGAACAAAACTTACTTTGAACTTTTTTCTGAACTCCTTCTCTTCTCTTTCCATCTTTTTAAGTTTTTGTGGATCTTTTTCATCTGATTTACCTTTTCCAAGGTTTACTGGTTTTGGTGAACTAAAACATGACATTACAAATAAAACAAAATTAGTAACACATTTGAGGTATTGACAATCATAGTGGTAATTTTAGTTAAACATATTTCCTTTCACATGTCATAAGTATGTTTTCTTCACTCTACAAAACTGACACGGATAATACAACATAGGCTTGTTTGCAAACAAATGAAAAACTGGGGTTGTCTTTCTGACTTTTTTTTTTTTTTAATTCAGACGTTAATGTATCTATTACACCAGTGAATATGGAAAATTTTTCGAAGTATCTAGCCAATAAAGCAATGAGAACTTAACATCTACCAAAAATAGTTTAGATAAACAATATCAATCACTTTAGAATGTTTAGGCAAAGGACAATTTCTGTGAGGTCTAGGTATCTTTGGGCAATAGGCTGAATAACACGTCCCACACTGGAGGCAGCTGGAACACCTTAGCCTTTCATACAATAGATGTCCTAGTCTTTAGTGCCCATAAGAAGAACTTGCTACTCCAGGGAATCTGCATTACATGCTCTATTTAAAGTTCTGTTCTTTTTTTCACATCCCCGATACTGTTGATTTGTGCCAATGAACAAGAAAAGGTCTCATGTCCTAACTGCCCTTCCCGATTCTGTATCTCGGAATTTAAAGTCTGATCTTGAGTTCTAATCCTTCCAGTTCTCTGCAGAGTTGTGGATGATAGTTTCACTGAGTGTGAATGCATGGGTCCATGCAAATAATTTAACTTTAAGGTGGGCCATGCTGTTTCCTTTGGATATAGAGCTCAGAAAGATCTCTCTGTTTTAATGCCTCTAGATTAGATTTTTGTATTGCAATCTGCTTTTTAACTCCACCTGAGTCAAGTCAGTGGCAGCAGAATGTGACATGTTGCAGTCAGCTCCTCAGATGCATCTGTGCTCATAACACATCTGTGTTCCAGAGATGGTTGTGACTTCCTGGTACAGAGATAAAATTTTCCAAGCTGAACTTTACACCTCCAGATGTGTTTCATACTGGTAGTGTAGGGCTCTATCTCCTTTCCTCACAAAATATTGCAGCAGCTGAATCAAGTACAATACATATCTCCAAGTACAATAGAATCTCTAGATTTTGATAGAAAGAGGACTGCATGCAAAGAATCTACTATGAATGGTCTTTAGGTCACTCATTTATTTACATCTCTGGTCCCTCAAGGGCTAAATTTGTTGAAATACAAAACACGCTTACTTATTCTGCAGTCTAATACCATTTTTATAACAATCTGTAGTAAAAGCCATTGTCAAAAGCAAGGTTATGAGAACTGCGAAACCTGACACCACCAAATAAAGGATACTATTTGCCTCTAGTAAACACTTTGAAAATGTGCCACAGTGTACTAAAGATTTCTAATTGTAATTAAGTAATTCTTGGTTTCACTTGCCTGAAGTCAGGTGGTGGAGGGAAGTCCGAGGAATCTACATCATCGTAAACATCACTGTCTCCACAATCTGAAACAATAATATATAAAAGGATTCAAAATCACTATGTTATCTCTGAATTCGAATACATTAGTAGTGAATACATTATGTTGTAGTCTGCAATAGTATATATAAGTTGACAAAAAAAAACACAGCAAGTTTTGTAGTTTTTTTACTTTCTGTAGTAACTGTAGTAACAATCTACTTTGCAAAACATATCCCAGCAAACCTTTTCATAATAAGACTCTTTATTAATAATAATAGGTATTCACTGATAGTTTAATCTTCTTAAGATGAAGCAAGTTTTTGCACATGTTGGCTAATGCAATAAATTTTAATCCTCATTTTAATTAGTCTATTTCCTACTGTGTTGCATCAAAATATATTTTTAGGATTTGATTTTAATATAGACTCATGAACTTCCATAGCACTTTGGTCAGTGTAACATTGCCTAGAATTGGATACGAATCACACATATATTAGATTTTAGATCACCTTGCAGTGACAAAGCAGTGGAAAGAATACTTACTGCAAGAATATACTTTGAATCATATCCAGTGTATTTGTAGAAAGGAACCAATTATTTAGTCCATCAAATCCATGGCTAGAAAAAGTCACAGTAGGAGATACAAGGTTTAGACCTCATTTTAGGCAGCAGCCACAAAACTTGTAAGAATTTGCTTTTTATTCTGTGGCTGAGACAATATTTATGAGTATATGTTATCTTACAATGACACTGCAAGTGATAAAAATAACAGCAAGCATCTCATTATTCTCTTGAAGTCTCTCATTAAGTGTTTATTTCCAAGTTTATCTATTCATACTTAATGCCAAATAAAATGAACAAGTGGAAGTCTTAAATAGAAACATTATGACTTTAAAAATACATTAAATTGTTTTCTAGGAAGTTTGCACTATATTGGGAACTCCTTGTCTGTAGCCAAATCAGACACAATATATGAAAATTGTTTGCTGGAACTGCATAAGCAATGGGAAATCCTGTTTCCTTCCTTAGACATATTTTTGTGACTAACACGATACAGAGCAATGTATGCAGAAAAAAGGATCGTGAATCAATATGGAGACAAAACCATAGACTATTAATTACCTTTTCCAAACTGCTTTGTGGAAAGAGACCTGGTTGGGTAAAAATAAAAAATAAAAAGTAAATCAAAAAAGAGAGATGCTCATTAAGTATTTATATCACATTAATAGGCTTTCACATCATTTACATCCTTTGAAAAACTTACAAGGGCTCCAAGTAATCTACAGACATTTTGAAGCTCTGCTGACACTTGCAATAATAGTTCACAGACTAAATGTATTTTTACCAGTGGATCAAAATAAACTAGTTCAGAAATGAATAAGGAAAGATGGTAGTAAAGGTGTAATTTCCTGATCTAACCTCTAGGCAAGTTGGGGATAGTCTTTGCATTTTTCTCTGTTGCTTATTATTCCAAAATTTTGGATTAATAGTGTTAGATTTACCCATTTTTCTTGGTTGTACTGGTGAGCAACATTCATTATAACTATACAACAAACTTCCATCACCAGAGTGGAAAAAAGATGATGCATTATTTGGGTGTTTTTCAACAAAAACAACAATAAAGTGTTATATTTTAGTGTTATTAGGCTCATGCAGCTCATGCAACAAATACAGCTTGTAAACATAGTAATCATGTTATGAAGTTGAAAGGAAAAGTGATCAATGTAAGATTTTTTTTTTTTTTTTTTCAGAAAAGTATCATCCTGATTTGCAATTTGACCATGATTCATTAGGCTGCTGTGAGAACATGTTAGTAGCATGTAATCAATGCTTTATTAGAATTAGTTAATGTGCACTGTGATTTCCTAGCAGACTCTTACAAGTCTCCATTATCTTCTGCCCCATTGACTTTGGTTGCTTTTTCTCGTACACTTTTCTTTTTGTTATCTTTGACCTTTAGCTTCTTCAAGATTCCCCAGGACCAGGTATCATTCTTATCTTCATCCTGTGATACAGACCTTTGGAGTATGCATGCAATTATCACAATGTAAAAGGTAACATTCTCTTTAAATGCTCCAATTTAATATGTTGATTGATGCACATAATTCTCATTAATGATAATGATGTATATATCACAAAGTGAGGACACTTACTTGCTAAAATGCTAAACTACAAGTGTGCATTTTAGATTTTTCATAGATATTGAGATGTATAAATAGTTATAAATATTTATCTACCAGATTTGTGTTTTTGTGTTGTTACTCAACAAGCTAGCATTTCTTTATTATTTTGTTGTTTTCATTTCAGAGGAATTCTATTTTTCTATTGGGGATTTACATGACTGAAGCTTTTTTTTTTTTTTTTTTTTTTTTTCCCTGACTTAACATAGTTAATTATGAAATGACACTTTTCCAAAAGACAAAGTAACTTTTTTTTAAAATTTGTTTAAATTCATATATCCATCCTGATGTATATCCACTTGCTGATCATCCCAATACTTGACTCAACACTTATTATGTCAAATTTGACAATAATAAAAACCAAAATGATAACACATAGCTAAAGACACAAATGATTTAAATGATATGAAAACATACCTAGTAACAGTATCGGTATCATCAACGCCATCATAAATTTCTTGATCAGAAGGAGGAGGTGGGAACATCTCTTTAATAGATCAAACAGTGAATTAATGCATTTCTATTAATGTTCCTGAATAGCATATTAATTACTGGCCTCAGCGTGTCAGATATGTTTGCAATGTGTGTGTAAATGTGTAGTAAATGGGGTCTTTCTGTAGACCTGCAGAGACTATTTATTAAAACAGCAGTTTAGCCTTAATCAAGTTGGACACATCATCCACAGAATTTAAATGTGACACTGCCAATAATAAGAGAATGAATACTGAAAAAAACGCATTTATTTGATGAAATTCTAAGTAGCTGTTTTGGGCCCATTTGTTATGATGACTTTTTCATTTTTGTTTGAGACTAACCATGACTGAAGGTGTCAGACCAACACTTCCAGCAAATGACACCACAGATGTCAGAAGCAAATGAAATGTAAGCTCCCCGTTTTGGTGGCAGTTCTGACCTCTGAGCCCCACCTCCTTCAGTGAAGGGCTATCTCAGTTTCCATGTCCAATTCCAGCCACTGGTCAGAGTACTGACTGAAATCCGTTCTTAGCTGGCAACAGCTTCATTCAGGACTGCCAGGGGATGCTTCTCCCATGACTAGTATCTAAACTCTAAGCTGAGAAGATGAGCTGTTCTCTTGTGATCAACAGAGAATGCTACATAAATACATGTGCTACCAAAGAGGAAACCAGTTTGAATGTCTGTTTTTGACAGAGTGGAAGTGCTGTAGACATACTGGTTAGGACCTTAGAGTATTTATGGAACTTAAGTTCCCTTTAACCTTGCCAGCAAAATGTAACTTTAATTGGTAATATCATTGGCTATTTCAGAACTGCACTTCTGCATAAAAATTCTTGATCATGTTAGTATTTTGCCAGTTATACATCTGATGTTTTGTGAAATCATTTAAATTCTCACCAATAAATAAATAAATAAATAAATAAATAAATAAATCTTAATGATCTGTAATCTGGCATGCTTCCAATAAACAGTATGAGAAGACAAAACCTTTTCATCCCAAGTGGATCATATAGGTAAAAAGAAAGCGTAGCTGGCCACCATAATTCCTTGTTTGTTGTCTGTTAGCTAATGTTTAACATGCTTCTGGATAATTACTGCATTATTTGGAAGCTGCAGAAGTCTGGATTTGAAGGTAAGTGGTACACAGAAACAAAGACCCACAAAAGTGCATGTAAAACTTACTTCCAGCTCCATTTCGACCACCACTCTGACTGGAAAAACAAACAGAAGAGATAGAGAAAAACAGTCATTTTTTGAAAAACAAACAACAACAACAACAACAAAATGCTTTTGTGTGTCTTAGTTCTAAACACTTTGTCTTTGGCACTCCTTGTCTATATTGCCAGCAGAGCACTACTAATTCTATGCTGAAAGCTCAGGCACAGGCTTGTATGTTCTCTGTTGGCAACAACTAAATGTGCCAGTTCTATTTTTTTTTTCACTCTGCCTTCACCACACACGTGGATTTCTTACAGTCATATAGTAGTTGCACTCTCACTAATGCTAAAGAAAATGTGTCATCAAATTAGTGAGTGAATTATCTCTGAGATGAGGAGGGATTAATTTTTAGCAGAGTCATGTAAAGGAATTCAGGAAAAGTACCCTGTTGTTATCCTTGGAAATAGTTCATTACAAAACAGAAGAAAAATATTTTAAAATACTATCCACAATAATTCAAAAGGGGGAATTATCAATATTCTCTATAGTTAATGCAAAAGCAGAAGTGACACAGTGTATTTGAAGTGAAGGTCTGAAGGAAATTTGCATAAATCAACACGTAGTTGAAGCTAGTAGATGTGCATATTTTTGTATGAGCAGAATATTTTGCCCTAATTGTTGATAATTGGCACTACTGGGAATTTGTGATATTTTATCTTGATTTCAGGAAGATGCAAACCGATGTCTAAAACTATTAATGATTAACTGTATTTAGAAAGTATTTTAATTTTTTATATAGATATTGCTAAACTAAACATGAAAGATAACTTACGACCATAGGAAAATTCAGGTTGGAAGGGATCTCAGGAGGTCATGTAATTGAACTTGATGAAATTAAAAAATAACCTGACATATGAATAAATACTTGCATCCACTCCCTTTAGATTCATAATTTATGAGGCAATTTTTGTGAGATGAAATGGTAAGCAAATGAACTTATTGTTCAACTGTCTTTTACCAGGTGGTACTTTAAACCCCTGACTACACATTTCTAACATTTCAAGGATTCCATATTAGCCTGATGTTCTAACAGTAACTGTAAATAACCTCTTAGGGTCATAGGAACTAGG